TCTGCCAACCCACCATGGCTGCAACAGAGAAAAACCCACCTGCCAAAACACGAAAAATACACACATTCAGTATTATATTTGTGCATTTGGCTGAGAATCTGAGACTGGGAAATCTGAAAGTTCACTTCTTTTTGTTGATGGCTGCTCAAAACCCAAATCGACCTACTCCTACCTGAGCCTTCTTTCAAACCAGAACGGTACCGCAAGCCTCAAGCTTGAAGTCTCTCAAAGCCCTCTTACCGCTGCAAACCTAATACTCCCATTTCTCTGTATTTTTACGGGACTAAAAGTTTGAAGGCTGAAGCTTTTTGGAAAAATATTTTAGAAAATATTTATTTCATTTAGAATTTATATGGTTTAAAGTTATCCACATAAATAAATAACAAGAAGCTCATTCTATTTCTTTTTTTTTCATAAGGGATTATAATATAAGTAAAAGGATAAATAGTCTTTTCTTTGTGGAAAAAAGGATTACACAAATTAGTTAATTAGCTTATCCCTGATAGTAATATATTTTTAAAAAAATATCAAAAGTGCAATAGCCCTATTTTTTGCACAACCATTGATCTACCAACACAATGATGGATTGGAATTTGGATGTATAGTTTGGCTAATCGATAGAATGGCAGATGGCTCCTTTCCATTATGACTCCACAAATTAATTAAGTGCACTCTTAGAAATGTAATATACTCGTATGCATCAACATTTTAAGCATCAATATCATATCCATGGCCCTTTTTGTGAAATTTTTGCGCCCTCATGGGAAAACATCTGATGAACTCTTTTTTTTTTTACTAACTTACCCTTATTCTAATATTCAAATATCACTTTTTATTAATACTTTTTAATTAAAAAATAAGAGTATTATTGAAAGATTGAACAACTTTTCATTCATAATATTGCACAAACCAAATTTAAGAATGAAAGAAGATAGCCTCTATTAGACGTCATTTCCTAGCATTCCCAAACACTGTAAAGAAGATATTTCATTCTCATCTTCATTCCCAAAAAATTTATAGAAATTTAGTGAAATACCCATTTCTAGACATAAAACTATAAATATACCCTATACCATTCATTATATATAAACACACCCAAAATA